CATTGTTGGTTGTGGGTTCCCCCCCCCCCCCCCCCAAAATAGGTAACATTCAACCCCCATATTTATCCCTGTTATGATGGTCTTTTGGGTAAAGACTCCTCTTTGTCTTCCCAGCAACCAGAAAACTGAGCTAATGTTTTAAATACTTCAATATTCTTCAAAGATTTCTTGCCCAAATGTTGGTAAGCCTCTGCAGCTGGTCACTATGCTGACCTGTTGGTTTTGGGGTTTTTTTTTTTTTTCCTTCCTCTTGGATTTATTCATCTTTGGATACATTAAGGATTGAGTTGTATACGATTTTTTCCTAGCATAGTCAGATAGTAAGATTTCTGCCAAATTTACCTTTAAACACTGTGTACATTTTCCGTAATATGGGATGGGAGGACATGGCAAAAGTGCTGTGTGTGTGTATGTGTATATAGTGCTCTTATTGTAAGAGGAAGTTATTAATGTATAACTGAAGGAAGAAAACAAGTACACTAAACAAGGTATTTGCTTTATTTTTACTCCAGAGTCTTGCTCTTTGGAATATTGTGGGTTTGGCTTCAGTTGGTTTTCTCCCTTTTAACGCTGAAATTCAAGCACTGAAATGGCACCTGCTTGGTTTCTGTTGAACAGAAGCTGCATTGGGTAGATTTCTCTCTCCCCTCTAGAACTGTACAGGCTAGTTTGTATCTATGCAGTGATTTTTAAAAAAAAAAAATAAGTTTATTGGCTCCAAATTATCATTGCAACAAAAGTATTCTAGATTTCAGATTGGCTTTTTTTTTAACCCCGTAGATTTTCAACAGTTTTTACGTTAATGAAACGTTTAAGGTATAGGAGATTCCTCAGTTTCTCATCTGCTATGAAGATTCATGGTAGGATGTTGCTGTGTTTAAGGGCAGACGTGATTGGAAAGAAAATGAGAAATGAGCCAAGAGGAAAAAATTAAATTAAAAGACAAGAATTGGGAAGAAAAAAAAAAAGTGGGAAACATTTATGAGAGCTAATGCAAACCAGCATGTTCCTTAAAATTCCATTAATCACAGTAATTAAATCAAATGTCATGAAATAATGGAATAGCTAATGACAATAGACTGCTGACAGGGGAAGAGTGCAAGGTCTGAACACAGAACGCTTTTCTTGTGACCCTATATCCTGTTGCTAGTGCAGCTTTTCTAGTGCCTTTTTTCTAATGGTAACTTGAGATTAATGTAAGCGCTCATATGTCTTAAATTATGAAAGGAGTTCAAATTCTGATCCTTTTTCTTGAATGATCCTAATTACAATAGTAATGAAATAATCTGTTGGTACTTAATAGTGGCTTTAATCATGATCAGGAACACTTTTCTTCTGTTGAATCTAGTGGAATGACCCGAGATATTAAATACTAAGAGATACAGTATTCAGTGTAAAGTAACTCAGATTTCTCAACTTCAGATTTTGCATTTCACAAGGGTATACAATACCCAAAATGCAGCAGCGGGTGGATGCACCCAAACACCTGCAGAAGTGGATTTCCTGTTGTGTGTTAGATGTTTGGGGATGTGGTTTGCGAGTCTTAACCGCCGCATGGTTGCTCTCGCTGCTTTCCAAGAATAATAGTATTTGGCAAGAGGTAGAGAAATAAGGAAGTGTTCTTGTCTCTTGCGTTAAAAGTTTTACATAAGCATGGATGTATCAAGCACAGGCCAGATTCTGTGACCTCACCATGCTGAAAATTTCCCTTAAAAGTAGTTGAGGTTTTTTGAGACTTGGAATTACTGGATAAATACTGCTTATGCAATTCTGGCTTTTAAAATTTCACTTTAAGCACACTGGATAGCAAATTTTTGGTAATTCACTGCTATTGTGGAAATAAGTGAAATTATTGTTCTCTTAAAAAAAAAAAGTATGGTTCAGGAAAGTCATTAGCATAGAACCTTTGGGTTTTCAAATTGAGGGAAAAAAAAAACACTTTCATAGTACATTCAAGTCAAGTTAAAATAAATGCCAACATTTTTCATTTGTACAACCAGTGTTTCATTCAGTATAGCGCTCTCTGTAACTAAAAGGTGAGTGAAACTCCTTGAATAAACACTCCTTTTTTTTTTCCCCCCTGAAAAAAAACAGAATAAGCATTGATCGTAAGTCTTGGTAATTGATTGTAAGGTAGCAAAAAACAGAATCGGAGAAATTTTTTTTTTCAAGTTTAAAAATGAAGGAGTCTTTGGTAGCAATGTCTTGAAATTACTTTGCAGTTATTGTTATTTTCACAAAATTCAGATGTGCTTATAAGAGCAGATCAGTGTTCCATGAAGTTAGACATTAAACAGATTCCTATGAAGGATCTTAATTCCCTAAAATAACTTCAGCAAAGATGCTAGTTTTATCAAGACTTTTTTTTTTTTTGGTGGTGCTAGGGAGAAGAGGGCAGGTCTCTGGAGTAAAGTGGAGGGACTCTCATGTTTGTCAAGGCTGTGGGCTAGGGACTTGAAGTTAGGTGTTACTTGTTCAGGTGTTTTAATCTCTAATTTTTGCTTTTCTATCTTTCTCCCAGTAAAACCTGAGAAAGTTTTATTTTACTGTGGGATGGGAGACACTTAAAAAAGAACAAACATGAGCTCCCCTGCTTGACTGTGTTGATCTCTGTCAAGTGAATTGGTGGCTTCCGCAGGCAAGTATGGATTCTTTCTTGTAGTGGGGTTTGCGATGCAGTCCTGTGAGACCACGTATGAACTTAGTGTTGGAATAAAATCGATGAGTGTAGTTTACTGGAACTATAGCTGAGCTCAAGGCTACAGTCTGAGAGGTGTGAAATAAAATCATTGATGCCTTCCTGTGTGCTGTGAAGATTGTACTAACTTCGAGGTATAGAGCTGATCTAACCTGGAGATAGGAATTGTTTGGCTGTGTGCCTTGTGCCTGCCAACTGGAGATGGACTGTGCTTGTGGTTGCCTTAGTGTCAGGGAGATACCCCAGGTGGGAGGCCGTCGCTGGAGCCTGTTGTACCTGGTGACAAACAATTGCACAAGGGGCTGAGGGGAATGTTTCCACCTGGACCAGTCTTAGGAAGATCAAAAGTCACCACGGGTAAGCTCCACTGCTGCTTGCCAAAAATGAAGGCATCTTGAGGATTTTAATGCAAGAAGAATGCCCCGTTCTCTGTCTCAAGTGACCTGCAGCCCCATGCCCATGGTCCTTTCACATCAGGAAGACAGCGTTTCTCCTTGTCAGAAGGTGCTGGTTGGCCTCTTGGCTTCCTCCTGTGAGAGTGACAATGGCAGCGATGGCTTTTGTTTGGTATCCAAGGAGGATGTCTGTGAACAAGGGATTGTCCTTAACCCAGGACTGAAGAAATGGGCTGTTTCTCCTCCTCCAGCCAGACTGCGTGTGGAATACTAGCCAAGTGTCAGGAGGTTATGATGGGCAAGGAGCGATATGGCATCCTGTCTTCCGAATGTCTTCTTCACTGGCACACTGACCACAACAGCTGGTGATGGTTTTACCATTCAGGAATAATTTCTGTATTTTCTATCATTTCTATGTTTTCTTAAAATTGCTTCGCCTGTCATTGTATCCAGCTGGAGTCAGAAGATCAGTTACGATCTGGTACCGTTGGGTAATCAT